GATGAACAAGTAAAAATCCTAGGAACAGAAAAGAGATGGTTTGAAAGGGGAGTAAAGGAAGCGATTTTTGTTAAAAAATTTTCACCCTCTCTGAACCGTGAAGGAGGTATCAGATTTAACCTGTCTCCTATTTACAATAACTTGTTGACCAGTAAGGGACATAGACATGCTGATCAGGCTAACTGAAAGTAGCTATTCAGCCTTAGCCCAAACAATAGGCCTAATCAAGACCCAATGATAGGGAGTTTAGAAACCAATGGGCCTCTTCACCATAGGGGCGTGACTAACCATCCCCACCCAGTCCTCAAACAGGCCACGCTCAGCCTTTTAGCGCAGAGCAACTTCCCGGAGTCTTCACGGAGACTTCAGGGTTGTCTACCGCTGACGAAGCTTCTGTGAGAGAAGCGAAACGTCCTTTTTTGTTTTTTTTTTTTTGTTTTTTGTTTTTTGTTTTTTACCCACAGGTACAGATGACGACTGACAGAACCCTTTCTACGATGGAACTTTCCTGTACGACTGAGAGCCTCCACAAGCATCCCCTACTGAATATAATAATATTACAACTTCTGTTTGTGTTTCAGCTTGGCTGCGTGCTTTCAATGAATCTCATTATTGTCATAGCTTATAAGGTTGCACAAAATCAAGACATCTACGACATTACAGGATGGGGAAATGTAAACAAGACTTATATTTTAGCCACCTGACAAAGTTACAAAAACTGGAACTGTCACATCTTGGAGGCAAAAGATCAGAGGCAGTTTCACTGACATAGACGATAATGATCCTCGTCATTGAGAAAATCACATTTAAGACACGTACAAGCTATGCCGCACTGACCGCGAAAGCTCATAAAGCACTGCGCTTACGGCCAAAAGTCTTGAGACATACCTCATATTGAATAACCTATTAAGAGTGGTGCTATTTTAGTTCATCATCCTTTCAAGGCATCAGTTATTTTAAGGGAAATCAGTTCAATAAAATATCTTCCACCGAGTTCAAACTGTACATGATGCCGTTCGGCCTTGTGGTTGTCTGACAGCGGAGCATCTTACTTACATTTCCGGTGCTGTTTACCATTTTTCATATATTCCAGAGGACAAACACTTTCAATGTTCCATGATGTATAATCCATGAAGAAACATTAAGGGTATGATTATCCACCAACTGTCTGTGTGAGCTTGACCTTTGAGACCCACACTGAGTGGGAAATTTAAACATGTGTCATCCTCATGAAGGTTTGATCAATAAATTGTGCCCTGAAATGTAGCCAAACACTTTGGAGTGCACACGATGACTTATGGTCAGTGTTGCAAGCCCACAATGGAAAATGTATCGGCTTTCATTGAAGGCGACCTGTGATGAATGTATCGCAGCCTGATTGTTTGTGTTATACTCTTGGAAATATCTTTTTAAGCGATGACACTAGAAGAAATGAAAATAAATGATACAAAAAAATAAGAGGAAGTAATTCAGAGCCGGCAAAGAATATCAGTCCTCCGTCTGAGATTAATGGCTGACAGATTGGCTGGCATGCACAAAGCCACGGCGAAGAAATATAATCCTTCAGATGCCGGTTCAGCTGGGATGGTTCCATCGCAAAGCCAGAGAGATGTGCTGAATCCACACCGGGCACAAACACATATCTCACGGTCCCAGGTGAAAAGTCGATCAAATCTTTTGTAAGAGTGGAATCAATGATTAACAAGAGGACTTTTTCTCATTTTATCCCAGGAGGCGAGCATTCCCTCACCATCTCACTTTGAGGGACAGTTGCTGCTCTCACAGTTCAAGACTTGTTTGGTGGAGTTACTCTGTCGGACTGGTGGCAACAGGGCTGAGGATGGGTGTGGGCAAGTCCCTCACTGGAGACATAGGTGGGATGGCCTTATGGCTGTAGTACTCCACAACTTGCTTGGGCACCTCTGCCAGGACACATTTGGCCAATGCTGCTGGTGAAGCCTGCAAAATAAAGATTGAACAGGGGTGAGACCGACTCGAAGTTCATTTATTCTGCCCCATAACCTGAGCTGGAACCTCTCAGGGGTTTCCAACCCAAAAGGATTTCGCCTGTCAATCATAGCCCAGATGTGGCCAGACTGACAACGAGTCATACTTGAGACTTTCCCACAGTATAGAAAGGAGTAGACTCATCTAAAAGGCAATCTCCATTTTTTATGTTCATCATACAATTCTGCAATCACCCCCTCCATTCCACTTCTGTTACCATCTGTATTCATCCATCCATTTTCTTGACTGCTTGTCCTGTTCAAAGACGCAGAGAAACTGGAGCTCATCCCAGTTGACTTGAGGTGAGTGGAAGGGTACGTATACCACACACTGATCACCTGTCAATCATGACTGCCGCAGGTGATCCTTTGTTCACACCGTAAGGTTTGTACAGTTCCTCTCTCTGAATTGCAAGTGTTTATTATTTCAAATGTAATCAGTGTTTTGATATAGTCTCTAATATATGTCCTCTAAGAGCTCAATTCATTACAAGGTGTGTCAAAAAAGTTCTGATGACTGGTGTCATTAAAGATATACTCGAAATTCAAATGACAAATTACAAGTTTTCTTGGGAGGTAACTCCTGCACAGTGGTGTTTCTGTGGGCCAGGAAGTGTCAGATGCTCAGGGTGGTGTGAGCAGCCATGAATTGTCCTGGCACAACGCTTCCGGTGCTGTTTACCATTTTTCATATATTCCAGAGGACAAACACTTTCAATGTTCCATGATGTATAATCCATGAAGAAACATTAAGGGTATGATTATCCACCAACTGTCTGTGTGAGCTTGACCTTTGAGACCCACACTGAGTGGGAAATTTAAACATGTGTCATCCTCATGAAGGTTTGATCAATAAATTGTGCCCTGAAATGTAGCCAAACACTTTGGAGTGCACACGATGACTTATGGTCAGTGTTGCAAGCCCACAATGGAAAATGTATCGGCTTTCATTGAAGGCGACCTGTGATGAATGTATCGCAGCCTGATTGTTTGTGTTATACTCTTGGAAATATCTTTTTAAGCGATGACACTAGAAGAAATGAAAATAAATGATACAAAAAAATAAGAGGAAGTAATTCAGAGCCGGCAAAGAATATCAGTCCTCCGTCTGAGATTAATGGCTGACAGATTGGCTGGCATGCACAAAGCCACGGCGAAGAAATATAATCCTTCAGATGCCGGTTCAGCTGGGATGGTTCCATCGCAAAGCCAGAGAGATGTGCTGAATCCACACCGGGCACAAACACATATCTCACGGTCCCAGGTGAAAAGTCGATCAAATCTTTTGTAAGAGTGGAATCAATGATTAACAAGAGGACTTTTTCTCATTTTATCCCAGGAGGCGAGCATTCCCTCACCATCTCACTTTGAGGGACAGTTGCTGCTCTCACAGTTCAAGACTTGTTTGGTGGAGTTACTCTGTCGGACTGGTGGCAACAGGGCTGAGGATGGGTGTGGGCAAGTCCCTCACTGGAGACATAGGTGGGATGGCCTTATGGCTGTAGTACTCCACAACTTGCTTGGGCACCTCTGCCAGGACACATTTGGCCAATGCTGCTGGTGAAGCCTGCAAAATAAAGATTGAACAGGGGTGAGACCGACTCGAAGTTCATTTATTCTGCCCCATAACCTGAGCTGGAACCTCTCAGGGGTTTCCAACCCAAAAGGATTTCGCCTGTCAATCATAGCCCAGATGTGGCCAGACTGACAACGAGTCATACTTGAGACTTTCCCACAGTATAGAAAGGAGTAGACTCATCTAAAAGGCAATCTCCATTTTTTATGTTCATCATACAATTCTGCAATCACCCCCTCCATTCCACTTCTGTTACCATCTGTATTCATCCATCCATTTTCTTGACTGCTTGTCCTGTTCAAAGACGCAGAGAAACTGGAGCTCATCCCAGTTGACTTGAGGTGAGTGGAAGGGTACGTATCCCACACACTGATCACCTGTCAATCATGACTGCCGCAGGTGATCCTTTGTTCACACCGTAAGGTTTGTACAGTTCCTCTCTCTGAATTGCAAGTGTTTATTATTTCAAATGTAATCAGTGTTTTGATATAGTCTCTAATATATGTCCTCTAAGAGCTCAATTCATTACAAGGTGTGTCAAAAAAGTTCTGATGACTGGTGTCATTAAAGATATACTCGAAATTCAAATGACAAATTACAAGTTTTCTTGGGAGGTAACTCCTGCACAGTGGTGTTTCTGTGGGCCAGGAAGTGTCAGATGCTCAGGGTGGTGTGAGCAGCCATGAATTGTCCTGGCACAACGCTTGTCTTTTCTCAGGCAGTAACTCAAGCAAATGCCACAGGGTCTCTTTGCTGACATGTCGCTTGGCCAATATTGAAGGGGAAAATCTTGAAATTTGGTTTTGAAATCTTTTGTGACACCAATCATAATCACATCTGTTGCACTCTCCTATTGCGTGTCTGTAAACACAAATTTGCCCCCAGGAACAACCAAGCAGTGTTATTCAGACACAGACACAATGCTGTTTTCAACTAAAAATGGCTAAAACAACAACAAAAAGGTGCCTCTTTGCCTGCAACAACTGAGTTGTGGGGAGTAAAATCGTCTGTTACATTTCTAAAAATGATTCCTGTCATTATCTAAGAAAATGAAAAACATCTCTTTTCAAAAGCATTAGGGCATGTGGGAGAACGTCACATTCATTCATGCAAATTGGAACACACCACCTTTATTGTGAGTGCGTTTCGCTCAAGATAATAACCTTGATAACGCTTCTGCAGTGAATTGCACTTTTACTGTGACCATTGGCAACACATTATTCCCATAACCCCAATATACATCAAATAGAATATTAAAACTATGCCTTTTGATAAAACTGTGAAGAGGAGCAGTGGGTTCACCTCCTCGTGGTACTCGCCTGCCATCCAAATCTTTTTTTTTTTACACCTATAAGAACTGGGATGCTTTGGAGGATTGTTATCTGTGTTTTCAGAAAGGCACAAATTAGCTCACCCGTACCCCTCTTGAACAGCTTGAAATAACCGAATGTGCGCATTTTTATGAACCGCGAAAACAAATAAGAAAATCATCTCATCACAATTGAAAATCATAAAACAACATGACTAGAATACTGAGAGACAGCAGACCTCTGTCGAGATGTAAACACTTGTGTTCTCTTGTCGCTTGTGAAATCAGTAAGCTACATTTTGATCGATTGCCGGGGTTGAATGACTGATTTGGTTTCTGTAGTCGACACAAATGAGATGATAGTTGAGTTGATGTCGACTAATCGATGAGGTCACTGATAGTTTTGATAGTTTCAGTGATGTTTTTTTTTTCCAGTTGTCAACGTGCCATCTGGGTTGAGCGAAACACTGGTTGGATGTTTTTTTTTTTTTTTTGGACCACCACTCATCCATGGTACATCATCTAAGTAGACACGACAGTATATTGTTTCTTTTTTGTTACAGGAGATCGTTTGGTGAATTCGCTAATGGACGACTAACATGAGATTTAGGCTGTTTGTCAGCGAGCATCAGCGGGTGCCTTTTCAGGCATGTGTAGCGTGTGCTTTTATTGCTGACAAACCTTTCTTGTGGTTATGCTACCAGTCTAATTTTTAGTCAAATATTTCCACACGGTGGAGGCAACCGCTGCTAACTTACCACGTTGGGCCAGCACCCTCCTCAGCTGTTGTTTTTAGCCAGGCCTCTTTATTATTCATGCCAAAAACACGTGATTGGCAAGGAGTAGATTTCAAGCTCTAGCCATCATTGCAGAGTTACAAAGATGACGTGTCAACTAGTTGACTAGTTAGCTCAACCCTGAGTTAACGAAAGGGCGGTAAAGTTTCATTCAAAGCCAGAATTATTACATGTGGTTTTTGGTTGAAACCAAATACACAGACTAGATTAGATATTGATCCATCCACTTGAGCATTGCGGGATAATAACCTGACCATTATCAAATGCTATATAAAAACGTCATACCACAAGTTGGACCCAAACAAATAAATAAACAAACAGATTGACCTCTGTGGATGGAAACATTTTTTTTTCCTTGACGGAGGGAACTCACCGTCTTGAAGTCCCGGAAGGGCACAAATTGCACGATGTCCCGAAGGACCGGCTCGCCCTTTGGTGAGCGCAGGACACCGTCATCTCCATCCAAAATCTGCATGTCTGTAAAGTCTGCGTTGCCCACCCCAACAATTATAATGGAGAGAGGCTGGTAGGAGGCCCGTACGATGGCTTCGCGTGTGTCCGCCATATCTGTCACCACGCCATCAGTGAGGATGAGCAGGATGTGGTAGCGCTGTTGGAAGAGGGAAAGTGTTTATGTAAGTGTTAACATCAGCCTCATTATGCAGCAGGAGGTGGTGAGGAGTGGTTAACAGCACTTTTAACCGAGTGGCTGCATTAATAGATTCAAAGAAAAATAAAAAGCCTACTTTGCTGTCGACATCACAGATTTGAAATGTATCATGTTATTAAAAAAAATAAAAAATAACAATGCCCTGAAGGCCGCATGATGAAAAGAAGCATTAACTTTGAGTAATCAATGAGATCAAGGTTGATGCCCAGAGTGAGAACATGCAGAGTAATATCAGATATGGCTTTTTGCAGCGCAAAAAAATGTCAATAAAGTGCTAGACGCCAGAAACATTGCATTAGTATGTAACAGTAGTCCAAAATAAGAACGCAATACTCGTCTATTTATAAAGGGTTGGTTTTTTTTTCTCATCCCAGCTTCCAACGTCATTACTGTAAAGAGTGAGTTAAACCACAGGCTGTTCACTTGAGGGACTCAGTGGGAGGCAATATGACAAAGGCTGCATTTCATCCATATGTATGCATAGAGAGACACTCACAGAGGCGTCTTTAATGTTGCCATCGCCAGCTGACAGCTTGGCTATCCGGTTAATGATGGGAGAAACATTGGTGGGGCCGTACAGCTGGATTTTAGGGAGGCAGTTCTGGTATGCCTCAACCACTCCTTGGATCTCTGATCAAACGCAACAATAACAAAATCGTCAGTCAACTGCGGGGAAGAGTCCGATGAAGATGTGTTCTTGCAAACAAAGAAATGTGAATGTTTTCTATGATGACAAATTGTGATGGGCAAAACCCACAAGAGATCTTGTGCTGTGTGTATATCTTCTGATCAATGTGGATTCCAGGAACGCTGGAACAATGATCATTTGACTTTGAAATGAATGAAAAGGGCATTGATCTGTTCCAGCTTTCCCACAGCAAAACAAGAAAAATTGTTGTAATGTTTATGTAACCCTTTCAGGGACAGCGGATACAGCAGTGGACATCTTATCATGTTATCAAGTTACAGGGTGCATGAATGGGTTAAATGTGGACAAAAAATCTCTCTCTCTCAGCTGGACATGTGCATTCAAAAGTTTAGAGAAAGTTGGATTAAGTTCACCTGTATATACCGTGGACTCTTGGTTCATCTTGAAATTTCAATCACTTAAACTAGAATCACTGGTGAAGTTTTCATGACAAGTGTATGATGCAAGTAGGCATTTTTTTTTTTTTTAGAATTACGGATGTGAATTATTGCATCATCATCAAAAAGGTGCCTACTGATATATCTCAATGTGAATGCTTGACTAGGGATGGGTATTATCTCCCATAACGACTGTTCAGAATATTGTGCCCATTGTGTGGTGTGAGTTTAGTTTATTAATCTTAGGCCAATAGACATAAATAAAAAAGGTTTAAATTAATTCATTGTTTCCCAATCGTCAACATTCTGTCTCATGCCTGTTCAAGGACTTCAGTCCCAATAAGCAATGGAACATTATTTCCATCAAGCTATTGATCCATACCTTCACATTCATCATCTTCGGGATTGAAATTGATGGCAAAATCGTGAGACACCTGTGGAGAGAAACAGTAAATTGAAAAAGATTGCATATTTCTTTTGCAATATTGCAATCTTGTCCGTTTTGTAGTAATGGAAGCACGTGTTTGAATGGAATTAATCTTTGGAGCAGTTTGCAATAACAATTACCAGTAGGATCAGAGAAGCCTGCAACCTGTCCTTCTGGGTATTTTGTTATTTTAAAAAATATGAAATAAAATGTGTGACGCTTTAAATAATTTCATTTAGGAGCAAAATGTGTATTCATAAGATTACACTACACACTAATGATGCGTCGGTCACGAACAAATTTCTTCCAGAGGTTCGAACGGAAGTATATATTAAGTACTGCTTCTTTCCCTTAAAGCAGCGCCGTCTGCCAGCCAAACCAAGTGAGTCCTCTCCAGCTGGCTTGCGTTTTCTTTTTTTAATTATTCAAAGCAGAAATGTAAAATGCATACAGTATATAGATGGATAGTAGAGGATGGTATCATAATGAGTCAGGCGTCTTCCTTTCGTTGTGACGGTCGTCCTTCACTGCACAGGTGTGACTAATGCCATCAGCAATAGAGGCGTGACGAATGACATTAGTAATGCACAAGTGTGACGAATGAGATCGGTAATGGTCACTTGTTCAGGGGTTTCGCTGTGTTGTTTTATTGGGTGCCAGCTCCATCCGACCATCTATTGCAGCATACTTCATGTAATTTGGATCACTTAAGCCATAGGTGTCAAACTCAGGTCCTGGAGGGCCGCTGTCCTGCATGTTTTCCAAGTCTCCCTGTTGCAACACACCTGATTCAAATGAACAGGTTCAATGTCAGGCTTCCGCAGAGCTTGCTGATGATCTGATCATTTGAATCAGGTGTGTTGCAACAGGGAGACTTGGAAAACATGCAGGACAGCGGCCCTCCAGGACTTGAGTTTGACACCCCTGACTTAAGCCTTCTCAATGAGAATTTAATTATTTCACAATGCAAACTCACGATCATGCATAAATGTAACATAAAGTTAATAGGAGGAATGTCTTGGAGTGAAATTATGCAAAAGGGATGTAGGGGTAAAATAGCAGAACATCCTATTAATTGTCTTTCTGAGTAAAAGGAAGCTGCATTAACAATGATTTCTCCTTTATGTATTTTTCTTTTTTCTAATTGCAAAGCACCTAACCCAATGCAAATCTTCATGTCATACTGCTTGTGTCATTCCAAGAGGTGGAGTGCCCCCTCCATGAAAAAGCCCCACCCACTCACAATGCACAAACATATGTGATTATAATTATGAGAACTTTCATTCATTCATTTTCCAAACCGCTTTATCCTCACTAGGGTCGTGGGGGGCGGGGGGGTGCCGGAGCCTATCCCAGCTATCTTCGGGCAGTAGGCGGGGGGCACCCTGAACCGGTTGCCAGCCAGTCGCAGGGCACACAGAAACGAACAACCATTCGCACTCACACTCACACCTAGGGACAATTTGGAGTGTTCAATAAGCCTGCCATGCATGTTTTTGGAATGTGGGAGGAAACCGGAGGACCCAGAGAAAATCCAGGCAGGCACGGGGAGAACATGCAAACTCCACATAGGAAGGTCGGAGCTGGAATTGGAATTGGAATCTGCACTGCAAAGACGACATGCTAACCACTCCACTACCGGGCCGCTGATTATTACAACTTAACCTAAGAAAACCATCAAGTTGGACTGTCTTCACACCTCCAAATGCAAACCCCACACTTTTCTCTCATTAGGACTGAACGGGAAACATGAAACATTCGTTTGGTTTGGTGTCATTGACCCCAAAAGGTGAGAATGAATTGTAGCAAGAACTAAGATGAACACATTCGAGAGAGAGAGAGAGACAGAGAGAGCCTGCCTGTGTTTTCCTTGTGGTTTGGCTGCCCCTGCACAAAAATGTCCAAAGCAGGGACTCAAACTCAGAACCTCTGACTGTGCGACAGACATGCTTACCACTGTGCCCAGATGTAATTGTTCCCTAAATCAAGGGTGTCCAAACTCAGACCTCAAGGGCTGCTGTCCGACATGATCCGGAAGTGTCCTTCGTGCAACACACCTGATTCAAATGATCAAGATCGTTTTCAGGATTCTTCACAGCTTGCCGATGAGCTGATCATTTGAATCAGGGTGTGTTGCAGGAGGGACACATCTGAAACCAGAGCACCAGAGCTGGACATGCATGCTGTAAATGTTATCAGTTCGCATGTAAAGTGTGTGTTCTGTATAGACTAACAAAGATATGGCAATCGTGACTGATTTTTTGTGTACATCGACAGCAATGAGAGCAATACAAGGGACAGAAATCTCCACTAGGACAGTGGTCTCCAACCAACGGTCTGCGGACCGGCAGAACCTCCCTCCCGTTCTCCCCAGAGGAGCTTCAGTATTATCTTTACATTTTCATTAAGGCATACACATTATTCCTGAATTTTTAGTAGTTTACTGTGTTATTTTATATTCTTTGACATTTGTTGTCCTGTTGACTAAAAACGCTTGAAATGAATGGAAAGAATTTTGTGCGTTAAAATGGTGAATTACTCTAGAATCATATTTGTTGTCAGCACTGGTGCTTCAAAACTCTCAATTTAAAAGGAATGGAAAAAACAAACAAATAAAGATTTTAGCACCCATAACCCCCCAGGGTCCTCCCCACTGCAACCCGCCCCCACTGCCATCAGCAAATTGCTGCCAGTCCGTGAAAAGCATGTACTTGTCTACGCTAGTCCGTAACGCAAAATAGGTCGGGGATCACTGCACGAAAACATGAAAGCTGGTTTGCGTGTTTACGTGTCTGTGTGTGCGTGTGCGTGTGTGCGTGTGTGTGTGCGCGCGCGTGCCTCTCACGTTTCATGTTCCTCCCCAGAGCTGCAGCCAATCACTCGAGGCCTGCGGTTACCGAAGTCCAATTTACTTTAAAAAAAAAAAAAAAAGTGCTTTCCTACTTATGAGTTCTTGAATGTAATGAATGTAAATTGAGCATCAGCACCAAGGGGTCTATTATTTGAGCCGACACATTATTTTTCTCAGAATCAGTTGATTTGCCACGGTAAGGGTTTAATGAATGAAAACAACAACATAATTAGTTTCAAATATGAAATTGGGATCGCATGACGAATTGTGTTGTCGATTACTGTTTTTTAATGGAAATCATCATCATGCGCAGTTCCCGCGTATTTAAAAAGGAACCAGAATATAGAGTGTGTGTGTGCATGTTGCCTGAAGTGAAGGTCAGTTGACTGCGGAAGGACGAAGACAAGACCTCACCTCGTAATTTGGAGGGATTCTGGCACCAAACCCCAAGGCTGAAAATCTTTTGTCGCTGTAAAGAAAAAAACAGAAGAAAATCTATCAAACAAGTGTATAGTGGAATTTGCGCCCGCTTTTGACAGTAATCTCAAACATATTCAGAGTTTATCCATCTGTTCACATTTCCAAGGTCAAACCTCCTGCTTGTTTGCATTTCATAAATGCTAAAAGGCTGAATTACAATTTGAAATTTCTCCCACGGTGCCCGCAGGCAGCTGCTACAACCTCCTCTTCTGAGAGACCAGCTCGCAGTCTATCCTCTCCACTTTCCTTTCGTGTGCACGCTGGAAATGATTTTGATCAGAATGTAACATTGGCATCTCATTATCATACCGCCAGGTATTAAGGGCAAGATGAAGACTTAAGTCTGCCCGGATGAACTGAAGTGATGAATCCAAGGCTTGTCTCAACTGATACACAGTGTGACTCGTTGTAGCTGCCATTGGTGCACTCAGTTTTGTCATTCGGCTTTATGCGAAACAAATACGTCCCAAATAAAGGATTGTGGACCAAGCAGCCTTCTTTGATGACGCAAATTATGAGTGCGGTTTAATGACTGAGACCTAACTGGAAGACAGTAAATAATAAAAGGAGGTGAGCATATTTAATGTTTTAATTTGTAATTTATTATCATAATTATAATCCCTCATGGGGAAGTTCAAATGACTCTCAGCTGTTTCTATATTTATCGTAACCACACAGAGAACCAGATCATAGAAATGCAGGCAGGTCGGAAATGAGAGATGTACAGCGAGATCCAGCTGGCCGCAACCAAGCCACACCAGTACAGTATTGTATTTTAAAATGATACTTAAGCAAATTTATAATTTCACATGTACCTGTGGCTAAAATGCAAAATGCTGAGTACCGATAACTGTATTGGTATGGTTTGGCAGCGCCTAGCTGGCTGGATGCCTGTGTGTATCCGGAAATGTATTTTCTATTGTGAAAGCTTGCTAGCGACAGAGACTCTGGCAGTATATACTGTACTGTACATATTGTGGTATACAATAATACTTAACTCAAATAATATTTAGGATTTTATACATGGTCACAAAGTAGGAAGAGTCTCTGTTGCTGAAACGCACAAGTACAGTCAATGAATGGAGCCAATTGCCTTTCACGTATTCAGAATCAAATTATATTTTTCCATTTTCTAATCCGCTTTATGCTCACGAGGGTCGCGGCGTGCTGGAGCCTATCCCAGCTGTCTTCAGGCAGTAGATGGGGTACACCCGAAACTGGTTGTTAGCCAAACGCAGGGCACACATAGACGAACAACAATTTGCAATCACGCTCACACCTCGGGACAATTTGGAGAGTTCCGTTAACCTGCCATGCATGTTTTCGGAATGTGGGAGGAAACCGGAGTAGCCGGAGAAAACCCACGCAGGCACGGGGAGAATATGCAAACTCCACACAGGAAGGCCGAAACTGGCTTTTTTTTTCCTTTTAAAGACTCAGTCAAATATTAACATAACTTCATGAATTCAATTGAGAAGACAATAGATTAGTCACCATGGAAAGTGTAATCTTGAAACAATACCATTAAAAAAGCAGACGTTATTTAGACATAGACATCTGTAGATAAAATCCATTTAAGTACTTTTCTTGCCTTGAGCGTGTCTGCCATGTTTGATGTGGAAGGGCCCCCGTAAAGTAATGCACATCAACTTCACTGAACTGAAAGATTGGCACGAAAAGCAACATATGTAGTTTATAAATCTCATGATTAAGCATGTTTACTCCCACATTGAGTCTACAGTATTTCAATATTTATCATTCCAGTAACAATGTGACACTCACACAAACATTAGTTCATAAAAATACATGCATTCTTCTACATAATTTAACTGAATGTTTATTTTGTACTCTGAAAGTGTTGTTCATTTAATTTGTCAAGGTAATGCACTTCTTGGGTTATGATCAGTGAAGAAATATTTTATCACTCCAATGTATGTTGTGACTGAGCGAGATTTTATGAGTTGATTTACAACTTGCATGAACCAAGTAATGACTTGCTTTAAATTTTGTGGCAACTTAATCCCCCCCCCCCCCCCCCCGCAATTTGGGGCTGTTCACGC